TATTGTTAATATTTAATAATCTTATGAACCAAATAGTTTATCTTTCTAAATTAACATCTAAGAAGTCAAACTTAAATAAGAAATTCTTGTAAAATATGAAATTGTAATATAAATGATATATGTATCTTCTGTTAAGTTCCTCTTTAAAAATGCTCAAAATCCAATGAATTAACATTATTACAAGTGAGAAGAAAACAAAATACAAAGATTCTGTCGGATATTTTTCTCCTTTATCTTTTAAATTGTAAGTGATCAGAATTTGACATTTAATTTTTCTTCGACAGAATTCATGTTATAATAAATGTATATATAAAGTGCGTAAAAAAAATCTAAACAGATAACGTTTGTACGTGACATGTGAACATGAAACAGATTGTTTCCTATTGAAACAACGTGGTTGTCAAGCCAAATAAAGTAGATTCTTCGAAGTTTCAAATTGTTTTTTCTATTATCTTTCAATTTTCAATCTTTATCACAATTCCTCTATTCATCCATTCCATTTCTTAATTATAATATGCTATTATCGAAGCATTTTTAATTCCAATGGTTTGTATACTTTCTTATATATATACATTTTTTCAATAAAATAATGTTTTATCAATCCAGTTTATTAAAGGTTAATCTCAAAAAAACTTCTTTCTTTTTTTTTTATGACAAATTAAACTTAAAACAATTTTTTAAGTTAATTTTTTATGTTTTCTTAATTTATAAATTTGTTCAATTCTTAGTCCAATTTTTATACTCCAATTTTCTAAATATTCAGATTTATTTGATATTATCCAATTTTTTTTTTTTTTTACTTTTCTTCTCAATTTCGTTTTGATTCATCTTAATAAAAAATTTTCTTCAAAATTCAATTCAAGATATATATGTAATAATAACAAAAGGAATATTTTCCAATTTTTCAAGAATCCAGAAAAAGTTCTGAAGCCAGAGTTTCTTGTAACGTAATGGCGGAGGATTTGATAAAAAAGCAGAGGGTAGAAGCTGCGCCAAATTCTGGTGTACGGTTCACCAGAAAGGGGAGCAAATTCGACGTGGATGAGACAGAGAAGGAGAATCGTGGGCGGTACGTCGATATTGCGGTGTCGCGACGTCCTGCAACTCGGGAATAATGGCGCCGACGGCTGCGGATCTTCCCACGTTGTGATCCTCCTTTCCCTCTTCGTTATTCTGCACTCTGAATAAGCATTTTCTACTTTCTAACCGAGGTTCACCGAGTTAATGTTACGTTAATGAGCAAATATCTCGTCCGATACTTGAAAATAACCATACGATTCTCATAATAATCGAGTAGTAGTTGTTCTTAAACTTCGATTTCCTAAGTTAAAAGTCTATTTAAGTATCTTGTGTATTTCATTCGATGAAGAGTATAAGTAACATGATACTTGATACTTTACCTCAAGGATAATTATGAAATGGTAAGGATGAAAAGATAGAAATTCTTTATGATTTATTCTAGGCTTTTCTTTTTTCTCCTTTTTCCCCTCCTTTATTAATTAAATCCATATTCTTCTCATTTTCTTAATTCGTTACATTCTTAATCCAATTTTGAATTAATCCTTCAAAAAATAATTGAAATTTTAATTTTTTATCTCAATCACATTATCCAATTCTAAATAATAAAACATTATTAGTTATAATTACTTTATAATTTCTATTTCGGATCAACAGGTTTTGTTTTTTTTACAAATATATATGCATAAAATAAATAAATCTAAATTCATATATATATAGTTATGTAATGTAGAATTTCCAGAATTGAAATGGGATCATATACTGTTTACTGTCAAAAAGAGGATCACAGACTGTTTCACTTAAAATTAGATTCGGTCAACTTCTAACTTCATGGACCCGCAGAAGAACGTGGGCCGCTATCAGCTGTGAAAACAGCATTGTTTATAGACACCGTAGCACAATGAGGTGTAATTGAATCCATATTCTACCCCGTTGTATCAGGCGCCCCTCAAGAGAAAGCTAGCGGAACGCCCCTGGTGCCCCGAGAGGTGGTTGTACTTAACGGTTCGGAAATCGAGGGTGGTCGTCGATTTGTGGACAATTAGGGACGATATACACGTCCCCTGGGACGTACGAAGCGGTTTCGATCTTTGCTGAATGTGTTCCTTCTTCTTCTTTCCTTTATTTTTGATTGTTTTATTTTATTTTATATTTGTTATGCATGTTCGCTACGTTATGTGTGTATGTATCAATCTGGAATAACACAACTGCAAAAGAAATATTTTTCTCTTTAAAAAATGAATGATATTCGGTCAAATATATAATTAAACAAATGTAATTAACCATGATAAAGCATGATAGATAAAATAATTTATTTACCAATATCGTAGTCAACTAAGTACTTCTAAGGAGCTTTAAAATATGATAAAAAAAAAGTCAAAGTTAAATAAGATTAGACGATAATAAAAGATTGCTCATCAGATAATCTCTGAAACTGTGACCTATCGACAGTTGATCCAGCTGTGTCCACAGCCTGTCCTTATCTCTCTTACCTCTTTATAGTGTATCAATTTTTTAACACTTGTACTTTCAAATATTGAGTATCACGTGTGATATGATTAGGAAAAGATATTAAATATTGATAATATCTAATATTCCTTTTTTACTTCTTTTTCTTTCCAGCAATAACATTAAAATAACTATAATAATTTGATCAAATACTTTCATATTATTCATAAACGTTGAGTATGAGGCTTAAATTATTTTTCAACGCTTTTATCATAGATGAATCCAGCGGTTAAGGGAAGGCGTGAAAGTTCAATAACCCAGGTTGAACCTAATCGGCTTGAACGTCACGGTACCGTGATCCCGTGAAAATTAGCAAACCATAGAATCGTGGCTGCACTCCCTTTCGCGTATCAGACGCGCATTAAGAGCACCCGCTTGTCACGAGGGGTCGCACTTGTGTTGATCCTCGCAGCTGGAGTGACACACAAATAAAGTATTAATTCACGATTCATGTAGTAATGCCGTAGCATCTAGTTCATATTAATCTATTATGTAACATCTTACCTCAGATGGATATATAAAAAATTATAATTTTTAATTTATTCAATTTTAAAGAACAATATCTGATTTTCTTTTTTATTTTCTTATAAATATCTAATTTCATTGCCATTAGAAATCCACCTTTCTCACTCAGATTCATCCCTCCTTTTCCATCTAACTCCTAAGTTTCAACTAAAAAAAAAAAAAAAGCCAATCCAAACAAATTAGTAAAGAACAAAGGAGAAGCAATAAAAAAAAAAAAAAAGGAAATATATCAAATTCATAGATAATGGTTTGAATGTAGAAACCTGAGAACAGAATTAACAATGTTACATCCACAGACAGAAGAAGCTGGGGGTTCCATTACACTTACTGGGGGAGGTGTTCTGGGCAAAAGAGAGCATCCATCCACTCTTCAACTCCCCTACAGGCTCCAGCCCCACAGGGTGAAAATTGGGGCACGCAAAAACCTGGGCAGCTGCGTGCTTCGGGGTGTTTTCCGAAGTTCCAACGAAATCATCCCCTCTCAGAACACTCTGTTGAAATACTTTTATACTTGTAGCTCCCCCCAAATATGCTTCGCACGATTATCGGTGTAGACAATATAACACTTGATACGATTGTCATTAGTGGACGATCAGTGGCAAATTCCAAGAATTTCTCGAGCTTTATGCCTTTTAATCTTCACAATTTGCCTAATATCATAACAATTGCAAAATATAAATATAAAAACGAGGCAGGTTTTAAGATAAAATTTTGAGATTAAATTCAGAAATGGAAAAAAACTTGGAATTTGTTAATTGCGAATGAATAAATAAGCAATGATAGGATTTGATAAAAGTATTCCTAGGAGTTGAATACAGAAGAAAGATAAGAATCTAAAATCCATGGTGAAATCCAGCGTGAAAACTCGAGCTCGATGAAATCCTATTACTTCACATTGGGCATTGCTCAGTCGTGATGAGAGATTGAAGCTTCCTCTCCCCAAAAGATGAAGATGAAAAGAGATAATAAGAGAAGACACGTGTGTCAACTGGTTCCTAAAATTAATTTTTTTTTATTCGTGTAACACTAATTTTTTAAATGAAAATTTAAATGTTAAATTAAAAAACATCTCTCCCAGAGATGCATATTGATATAATAAGCGTGTAATTTATGTTAAATATATAATATTAAATTGTATATTTGATTTGACATCACACTGGAAGGATCAATTTTTGGATGTTCTGATAAGAATATCTTTCAGTTGTATCCATGAAACATAGTATATTCGTACACTCTCGTGTAATATTGATTCGTCGGAGACGAGGTCGCAGGTGAGACTTCCCACGATCGTTGGCCGGCACTGAGGCAAACGTCAGGGATTTGTCTGGAGATAGTCGTGCTTCCATTCCAGACGAGTAGCTATGTTTTCCTTCTTCGTTTCGAAAGGGAAGACAACAAACTCTTCAATATCTTGCATTCAAATTTTCCTCCACGATGCTGCAAAATAATGAAATTATTTGAAATCAACTAAAAGAAAAAAAAAGAAAAAAACAATTAATTTCATTTTATAATATATAATTATAATTCATAAAAGGACCGACAAAATATAATTATAATTTTCTTCGTTGATTAAGATACCTTTTATAAATAAAATAAACGAAAAAATTTAAATGCGAAAACAATAATTTAAATTATTGGAAAAGGAGGATATCCAAAAGCAGGAAAGCAGGTCGAGATGAACGATACTGTCATCGTTTACTCATTTTTTATTACATGCTTCCGTATGCACAATTACATTACAAAATCGTATCGCACAGATTTACATCCCTGGATTTGGAACCGATCCACGCGACTCCGGGACGAGTTTTCAATTTTGACGGGGACGACATCGTGCATGAACATTGTTTCGCCCAACTTTCGTCTGCATTTTCTTTGAACAGCAGTATGAAAAGCAGAGGAAAAGTTGAAAATGTACGACTATATAGCATCAATGCGTCGTCAGGATAAACTTTTTTTTGTGAGCTCTCGTCCATCCCTTCATGCCTTTTTGTTTCGATTCGACGGTGAAAAATCTTAATGGATATAAATATAAAGGTGAAAGTTTCTAGATATCCAATTCGAGACAAAGAATCTTAATCTAGCCGTGTTGGTTCCTGAATTTTTTAAATCAATGATTTCCCTTACTTCGTAATTTCGTGTAATATATTCTTTATAGAAATTAACATATTTTCTTATACCCCATACTCTACAAATTTTAAAGATTTTAAAGAAGTGAATCTTACACTTTTCTTAATTGTATTAGCATTAAAAATTTATTAAATAAAATATCTACATTCCAAGATAATTTTGAGCACCCGTAGTTACTTATAATCTTGAGCAGATTTCATAACAATATGAAAGTATGCTTAAAAGACTCGAGGTCTTGAATTTGAAATTTTTGATAACTTAATAGTACAAAAAAATTAAAGTAACAATATCCTATCCTACAGATAATTAATTCGATTAAATTCAGGGTACCTGAATTAGGGGTGGACGATGTCACCAGAAAATTATGTTAAACGCATTGAAAGAAAAAAAAAAAAAAAAAAAAAAAAAAAAAAAAAAAAATACAGCCTTTTCTCCCATAAGAAAACTTTTTTCCAAGCTATATGGAAACATATATGGCATATATTTCGCTCGACACATTCCTTTCCCTTATTTCCTTAGATGGATACGTGTATAAACGTACGTAATACGAGGACAGTTTAAAGGTAAATTAGCCACGGAGCAGCCCCGGATTTTTTAATTGCTCGCTTGAAAATATACAAAAGATTATTACCGGAGGACGCGGCAACCTTCAAAGTGTTCTCTCGATATACTCTTTCATCTTTTTACACAAATAGCCAGCGCTTTCTACAACTTGTAGGCTGTCCCAAAAAACGAAAAATATTTGACTTTCAAACGTTTTTTTACAAATATCTAGTAGTAGTACAATAGTAGTAAATTTCACCGTTATTTAACCGGCACATGTTTTCTTGGGAAAACCGACAAGTGGATCGAGACGAATAAATTCATCTCCTTCCATTATTCCATTCTCTCTAGCTATCGTTTCTTCTTTATGCATTACAATTATTTTTACAATGAATTTACTTATGCCTGTTCGTTCGTCCAGAGACGCGGGAGGGATATTTAGCTAACTCTCGTAGAAAAATGAAAACACGCTTCACAAACGGCGACAAGTTTGGTTCACTTGCACACATATTTTTTTTTTTTTTTTTTCCCTTCTTTTTTTCATTTCTCTTTTTTTTTTTCTCTCTCCTCTCTTTTTACACACTCAATTGTCCAACAATGATTCTTAGCGAAGAGTATCTCGAGTATCAAAATGCTACAATACAATCTGTGCCAATATTTCGGCCAATCAAAGCATTGCTGCCGCTTGGACATTGTGATTTCATGATTTACAATTGTTTGAATGTCTTTTTTTTTTTTCTTATGTCGGCACGGCTGGGAAATAAATTGATTTTTATCTCATCAATGGGACTACGTGGTCTCTTTCCAGTGCACTCGAGCAGTCTGCAATTAATTTATCCAATAAATAGTTTTTGCTCGTTGTTTCGCTGATTTTTGAATAATTATTTTGTTCGATATTATTATCATGAGCATATTAAGTCCTTAATACGAACAAATCTAACGATACACCGTATCTATCCTAAACGCATGATTCTTGTGTACATAAGTTATATAGGTACCAAATATTTAAGTTACAATTAAACTACAAGAGAATAGAAAAGTCTAATGAACTCATCATATTGAATTTATACAAAATTTAAACAAAAAAAAATATTTATTTGAAACAATCTTGGTACAATTCGAGAAAAAGAATTTTGTTTGTTTGAATTTTAAACATAAAAACATTTCCGTTTTTATTTTTTGTCCATTCTGTATAAATCCAATGTAGCCTAGAATTAGAAAAGACTTTGGTCAAATTAAAGTTAATTAATTTTCAAGCGAAAAAAAATCTCTGGCAGTCGATCCACTGCGGATTAGGAACACAATAATTTATTTGTACACGAAGAATTTTAAAAATGAACACAAAATAATTGAGAGCATAAAAAAAAAAAAAAAGGGGGCAATGTTTAAATTTCATTTTCTATTCTTCATTTTCCATCATATAAAGCAATTCCAATCCCAAGATTTTAAACAACAGTTACTTAGGCACGTGTTGCTCAAGTGTTTCAAGGGAGTTCAATGATTCGATTGCAAAAATTTGGCACGGTCTGCTGTGTAAAAATATCATTATCATTAACTGCTCTCTGTTTTTTAACACTTCACTTATACACGCTTTGTTCTCGCCTTTTTTTTTTTGTCTCTTTCTTCTCTCTCATTCTCTCTTGCCCTTCTTCTATAATGTATATTATCTTCTTAAAAAGTACAGCAACATTACATTGAGATGATAAACGCATAAAATATTCTTCGTCAATAAAAACGCACCGTTGTCTTCAATAATCACTTGATTTTTTTGGAAAAACCATATATTTTCATACTTTCGACTATAAATCATCAATTATGAATATTATTTTCTTCAAATTGTAGCATTGAACACTATATTGCTATACCATACACTTTAAAAATAATACATAAATTTTCATAAAAAATTGTTGAAAAGCTTAAATATTTTTTTTTGTTTCATGAAATTACTCGAATAATTCATTATTTCACACTTAAGTACTACGAAGCAATAAAGAAAGTAAAATAAGAAAGAAAGTTCTTTGGGTAATCAAAAATGTATGATATGAAATAGTGTTCTTCGTGCTCGCTACAATTGATGTACATGAAGAAAACTCGATAGAATTTTAATAAATCGATTTTCCCTGAGTGGTGACGTGAATGCTTGATGCCGCATTTATCATACTAAGTAAGCCTAGTGGTTTTTCTGGATTCCTTATGAACATTCGTTATTTTTCATTATCGAAAATTGTCCGTCCATAAAAATAATACTTTCCAATTGAGAACACAACATGGTAACATTGACTTTTTCGTTTTAAAATTTTATTTCCTACAACAGAATAAAAAAGATTAGTGTAAAAATTCTTACTAGCTAAATATTAATTAAAAAACAAAACTAAATTCACATTTTAACGTTAAAATATAGATAATTCTTAAATGAAATTTTTTTTATTTTGACGAACTGAGAGACAAAAGATTATTGTACTCTTTATTATATAACTTTTAATTTTTAACGAATAGAATTTCATTAATTAATAGAAATAGCTCTAATTTCGAGCTAAAATTATCATGATTTTTTTTTTATTTTTTTATTTTTTGATTAGGTCTCTCATATCGACAAAAGTCGAAATTCTATATTATTGATAGAATAATCCAAATAAAATGTGCTGCCATTAAAAAAAGGCAAGATATAATCAAGAACAATCGCAAATGGATTTTTTTATGCGAAAACGAAGCGCGTAATAATATTTCATTTAGATATAACTTCAATTGTTTTCTTAATTCCCGTCTAATGATCGTAGTTCGATTAACCGCTCTGAAGAAACCATAAGAACCATTATTCTATGAATAAAAATAACTTCCTCGACCCATTTCACGGCCATTTCATTGATGGAAGGCAGTGCTCAAATTATATGCTAAGTATATTGTACGTTATATATATACGTATATATATATATACATATAAGATTAAAATATACATCGGTTGGGTCGTGAAATGGGTCAATTACAAAATATTTACAATTTTAATTTTATCTTTTGCGAGTTTACTAAAAGAAATCCGCAAAATAAATTTCTATTAAAATAATAGTGAAACATTTAGAAAAAGATGTCTTTATAGAAAAAATGAGTGACCTTGTCGTACCACCAGACTCACACATGATTTCTTTTTTTTTTTTTGTTAAAATGTACATCTACTTCATAATCATTATTGCTATTAGTCGCGATTAACTTACAATCTACAATTTGTACATCTGCGGATTTACTGTTTCATCATACAATATCGATGACAATGATGGATAATGATGATGTTAAGATTGTCTCAGACGTGCTCGATGACGTGCAACCAAAGGAAAGAGAAAAAAAGAGAGAGTGAGAGAAAGAGAGAGAAGAAAAAAAAAGAAAAAAAGTTTCTATTTCTAAATTGCTTCTTCGTTCGAATTTGCAAGGCCTCTATTATCCTGTTTATTATAGAATTAATCTAACTTTGAGCAGATAGAATTGCTCTCGAAATTTATCAAAAAACAATAAAAGTGTGAATTACAATTATTGATAAATGATTGTACATTTTCTTTTGGTTAATATTTTATATAAACTTTATCAATAGATACTGAATTATCAAACTGATCACACTTATTGATCAGAGACCAGTCAAAGATCGAACTAATTAGCAAAGAAGCACGAAGGATAAACGACTTCCCTCTGTTCATTTTTCAAAGATGGTAGCACGCCTCGGACGGCGATGACACCTCACCACGTCTACTGTCATCGGACGCAGTATACTTTTCTTTGCTTTCCACCTATCTTCAGCTGGGTTTTCCTGGTGGTCCATGACTGGGTGGAGAAGGTCCATGCGAATGAAGATTATGAACATTACCTACTTGATTACTTGTCAGACTGGACATTGTAGGTTGATACATTGAAGGCATATAATTGCTCGACGATTGTGGCACTGATCTAAAATATAAAATTATGTTTTTTTTATGTGCAGAAATATATTATATGGATATCTATTTTGAAAATTCATTTTGTTTTACTATTTCTTACAATATTATTCTTTTAATTTAAAATCACTTCAAAATTAAGAAAGAATTAAAAAGAAATAATTAAAAGATAATAAAGATATTTTGTTTTACTATAGCAATAAATTCTTTTACCTTGGTACTCCACGTAGAGGATCTGGTGTAACAGATGAGTTTCTCACTACACTAGAATTACTAGCCGGTGCCGGAGATACTATATTACTAGGTTGTCCTTGATGATACGCATTTCCAGCTGGGCTGTGTCTGTATACAATAATTGCAAAAAATTAATTTTGCAATAACAGTATTCATAATTAATAAAGCATAATTATATTACCTAATTGTTGGACTTGGCTGAGGTGCAATTAACGATGTTCGGTGCTGATATTGTGACAATGAAGCTGCAGCTGGAGGAGATGGATCTGGAGGTAAACCATTTTCTAACGTCGCAGAATGATTACTGGAACTCGAATGAGGCATGTATGTGTTGTTTACTCGTGGTTCCCTAGTAACTCTTGGAACAGGGGCCGCGGCTCCTGGTGGAACATCGGGATGTGGGACATTGGGGTGCGATGGGTTGACTGTTGGATGTATATTGTTCACTATAATTTACGAATAAAATAGAATTTTCTGTTAAATATTTAAAATGTTTAAATATTCAATAAGACAAACCAAGTAAATTACCTGGGTGTGCACTAGGTTGAGTTGTCAAAGGAATTGCAAGTCTAGCATTCACAGCCAATAGGTGATCTCTTCTTTGCAGAAGACTATTTACATGTTCCTCTAACCTAAGATTTTCCGCTCTCAATTGATGAAGACAAGAAAGTAGAGAAGCGACTATAAAAAAAAATTTTATGATTTGTAAAACTTCTCTTTAATCCATATAACGATTAATGAATTAAACAAGCCAGAAAGCAGTATAATTTTGATTACGTATCTTTGATGTACAAGTCTATTATTCAATGAAGATACAATAAACAAAATAATCCATGCATTCATTTTTCGATCGAATGAGGAAATCCCCAATTTTACCAAACCCATGCAACTGAAAGCATGTTTTTCCTTGCCGTACACTCACTGTCAAAGTGCTGGGCTTGCTCCATCAGGAATTGACTTCCTTGCTCCCATTGTCTTTCTAAAAGTTGGTCAAGTGTTTGGGGTATTGCTCCACCGCCTAAAGAACCGGTATTGGTTGTACTAGCATTAGTGGTAGTGCTTGTATTAGTGTTTGTATTGTTAGAAGAGTTAAAAACCGAAGAAAATGACGTGGGCGGTGCACCTGTTTGATTGGACCGTATCTGTTTGTAAAACAATATTACGGTTAGAATCGAAATATCTTCTTATTTTCTTTTAAAAAATAAAATCATATTAAAATGATTTCTTAAAAAATACTTACAGATGCAATTACTCGACTATGTAATTGTGGACCAACTAAATTTGTTGTAGAATTACTAGCTTCTGTAAAAATAGAATGAGCTTCTAATTCTTGGGAAAGGGTATCAGACATTTTTTGTGCCATTGTAGATGTTGGATTTAACTGATTTCCTAACATATGTGGTGCACTAACTCCATTCTGAAATCTAATATATATTCAAATTAAATTTATTTACATAATAAATCATTTTATTATATCAATCATTTCTATTTCTTACAATTTTACATCTTTTTCTTCTTTCGGATTCGTGAGTGTTGGAGTACTAGATGCAGAAGGTGTTGGTGTTGTAGAAGCCGCACTTGCGCTTTTCCTTTTTCTCCTTCCTGGTCCATTACTACTCATACTTTCAGAACCTGGACTACTTGGAGGAGATTCTTTGACAGTAGGACCCATAGTGTTTGTAGAACTAGAGCCAATACTACTAAAATGCCCACTGCTCAGTGTTGGTCCTTGAATAATAGATGGTACAGGTGCGACAGTTACAGCAGGTGGAGGAGTTTGATGATTACTTCTTGCTCCTCTTTTGGATGTTGTTACCACTGCACTGCTAGACACTGATGTTACTACAGATGAAGCGGTTGGTTGAGATTGTTGTTGTGTTTGTGGTTGTACTTGTGGCAATGCTGGCTGACTATTTGATGACCCACGTTTTGGTTTGCGAGGTTTTTCTTGCTTATCTGATGATTGAGAACTAAGAAAGTAACAAAATGCATATTTACGTATCCAGTTACATTCTATTCTTCATTAACTTTTTTTCATGTAATTTTAAAAATAAAAATATTCAAAAAATTCTGCAGAAATGAGTATTATATAAAATGTAACATAAACAGACCGTTGTGCACTACTGTTAACATCACGTTATTCCTTTCCTTCGTTCGTTGCCCTTGAGGCCCCTTGTGGTAGAAAAAACAAACATAACCTCAACGTATTCTTAAAGCTACAGACAAACTAAAAAACGTTAAAAAAATCACAGTTGTTTACAATAATTTCTTTCTGTCAGAATTTTTTTGCAATATACATTATATAAAAATGTAATAAAAAGTAATCCTGAATTCGTTCTTCCATTTGTATAATTTGTAATAGTGTCGCGAACATCTTTTAATAAACACAATATTTTTCGAAGATTTTAAGCAATGCAATACTATCTTAATGAAATGATATTTTGAATGAAATCTATATTAAATGAGATTTTTTTATATCTGAATAATTTTTACGAAACATAAAAGGTTAAAAACAAAAAGACTTGTTTATCCAATTAGTCAACCATTTTGATGCGTTCAATTTTGGCGCGCATTTTAAATTGTTCAAATTTTCATGAAATTTCATACTTGCTTCTTTTCATACTGTATATCTATTTTATAAATTATTGTGATATTTAGCCTAATATTAATATAAATTAAAAATTTAAAAAAAATATTTATAATAATAATATTATTATTATTCTTATTGCTAAACAGGAATTTCAAATTGAAAAAAAAAAAAAATCAATATTAAGATTTTAATCCGAACTTACCGAGATCTTTTAGCTGGAGTTTCTTCTGTGATAAATCTTTCTGAATTCGACATAGCATTCGTTCTGGCTTCTGTAGCGGCTGCAGTAGTTATGATACTTTGTTGCAACTGCTGATATAGAGTTGGAGCACTTGTTACCACACTCTGCACTGTACTAGATAACGAAGTTGCAGTCAATGGAACTGATACTACTATACTATTTGAAGTAGTTGTTGGTGACTGAGTAACAATTGATGATTGAGATTGTGTTACTGCCATTATCACAGGTGTAGTAGTCACTTCGGTAGCGACTGGAGTGTTTGATGATGATTGAATGGGACTTTCCACCTTTAACTTAATAAGAATATTTGAGAATATAAAATATGCCAACATGAAAAAAAATATTTTTTATAATTTTTATTTACCTTTTTTGATTTTTCCGGTTCAGTGGTCGTACTTAAGCTTGTAGCTTCCGTTATAGTTGTTTGTACATTATTACTCGATACAGTTTGCTGCATAACAGAACTGACGGCAACCACAACTGAACCACTGGCTTCAGAACTGACTGACTGATTTGAATTTTCGTTTCCTATTACAGTCGGTGTTCGTGCCCCTGTCTTTCTCTTTTTACTGTGACTCGAAGTCTTGTTCGATGATGAAGAATTCGATTTCGTTTGTCCACTACTTTTGTGGCCAGAACTTGAGTTCGATCCAGATTTAATTGTTGTTGCCATAGTGGCAGTGGTGGATGTTGTTCCGTCATGTCCAAACACACTCTCCGATTGGGTGACGATCGTTTCTACGAAGTTGGAAGTGGTGAATTTACTGGAATTTGTGGTGTTGTCTTTGGGTGTATTACGGCCGCTACTGCTTTTATCATCAGCAACGCCATTTATTTCTAGACTTGGACTAGTATTTGATTTGTTTTTAGAATTTGTAGCAGATTTAGAGCTGGAACTCTTTCGTTTACCACTTGATGAAGATTTTATCGGGGTCTCTGCTTCTTTTTCAGGAGATGAATCTGACGAACCGTTATCAGCAGGTATTGGTTTATAAGGTGGTATTGTTTTTACATTACCACCTTTTTTCTATAAATGAAATAAAATTATGATAATCAAGATTGAAGTAATTAATTCAAATTATATAGAGATATTTTTTAAATAATACACAAACCAATTTTGAGTAATGATGTTGACAATATCCACAATATTTCACATTATCTAAATAATTGCCAGCTTCTTCACAAAGCAAACCAAGAGCCTGAGCACAAGTAACATGAAATTGCTGCCTGCAGCCAGTCTTGTTGCACTGCATACAGGCTCCTACATTTGCTCTACTACCTCTTCCTTGTTCTTCACAAATGTAACATGACTGCAATGATTATATTATATAATTTATCTTAAATAATTATCAGAAAAAATTACTCTAGTTTAAAAAATCTTTACCTTACTGAATCTTTCAGATGGTATCAATTGTAAAATAATTGGTTCCATTGTTGTCACATTACCAAATCTAACTTCTGGAATATAAAGAGCACAGACCACATGTGCCCATCCGGCTTGATCTGTTCTCTTAAGAGCTCCATCTCGACTTGGACATAATTCACAGCGCTATAAAGTAATTAAAAAATAAAATAAAATATAATTTAAAAAAAAATCATTTATAAAACTTACCACACGAGCACTACGTTCCTGTGACTCACATTTTCTGCAATACCATGGTCCTGTGGGTACCGTAACAATACCATAGCAAGCTGAAAAACATACCATAACATACCATTGCAATTGAATATTCCTATTTAAAAACTATACAATCCTGTGTAAAATATAGTAATAATCTACGTAACAAACAAACCTTGGTGTACAGCAACGGTACAACCTTGGCCATCACAATACACTAATGGATTTTCAGTCCAACCCCTCTCATCAGAACACACGCAGCACCCTCCAAGCATCTCCTTCATGCTGTGTTTCAAGCAATTCGGAAGACGAGACTAGCATGAGGAGCTAGGCGAGCCGTAAGCGGAGATGTAACGCGAGGTAATCTTGCTTTCGCAATTGCATTCTGGCGATGTGTAATTCTCAACTCGCTCCTTCCTTAATTGCTCTCTTCAATGATCATGCACACGCGTGACGCATTCAACGATGAATCGTGGCTTGGAATGCACCACTGCACGTTGCCAGTCACTATAATGATTCCACAATGTGGAAACACGAAACACCAATACCGAGGCGATTCCAGAATTCCGTGTAGTGGCTGATTTTTAAAGAAATTCCGTATTAAAATGTGTTTGAACCATTTGTTATTTACAACGGCGCTCTATTTGTTTCGTTGATCGGCCATCTTATTTTGTTATCATGCTTAGTGTACGCATGCGCAATTGCGCACTCTGCCGCGAAAATGGAAGAGCGCGTTCGAAAATGAGGCGATAATTTTAATATTGTTTAAAAAAGTTTTTTCAATAATAATTATTCTACAATTATTATATAACATCAATATTATTAATTCTAAGCTTTTTTATTATTAATCAATTATGAGTTTTAAATTTTCTTTAAATTTATAATTGTCAGGATATTAAGTATCAAAGTATCAAACTTCTCAACAATTCATATATTATTCACTTCATGTTTATTTTTAAATTCTTATTTTTTTAAAAATTGATATTATTAATTTCTTATTCAGAAAAATAGAAAAAACTTTTAATTTTAATATAGCTATTTAAATATTAAAACAAATCACATTTTCAATCAATGAATTACAATCCAAACTGAGATATCGACCAATCAGGTAAGACTTTACTATGTATAGTATTTCTAAGAATTTATATTCGAGTAACGATTCAATGATTCATTGTATTAACAAAAAATATTGAATTATAACACATTTTTTTAACCTATATAAACAAAAAATTATATATTATAAAATAATTGTTCAAATAAAATATAAAATATAATATACAAACATAAACGCAAGTGCTTTAAGTGAAAAACAATTTAACTTAATGGAATAAAATATCAACTGGTAATGTAACCTGTTTTGCTCTTATTTTTTGTTCAAAAAATATATATAGATATAATGGAATCAAATAATATGAAATAATTTTTAAAATGTTAAATTAAATAATTTTTATTCAATTGATATAATGGAGCCAAATAATCTATATACTCTTGAATGGGCGAATGACAGTCATTTATCAGAAATTTTATCTTTCTTACACGAAAATTTTGATAAGGAAGAGATTATGTTGAAAAGTCTGAGAGATAATAATTCTATAACAGTTGAAGAGAAGGATTCAATGAAAATCGACCATGAACGATTAATACGTGCGATTTTCAAATTTTCACCATGTATTATAGCGATCGAAAAATCATTAAAAAAGATCATTGCTATAAATCTAATGTTAGTTAGTAAAAATTCAAAATTTCAAAATGATGGCACTGATGGGGTTTCTGCGGCGTTTACTAATAATCCTCCTACAAATAGATTAATGAAACAATATTTCAATTATTTATCCGAAATCAGTGAAAAGGCTGATTTATATGGAAAATTTCCAGATTCTAAAGTAGCCGTGGAATTTTATGCAATTGCCGTGGATAAGAATTATCGTAGGAAGGGACTTTCAAAATCCCTAATGGCTGCAGGAATTTCTTTCGCAAAAAATACCATTCCGAATGTAGGATTCATATTTGGAGTATATACATCTTTGTATTCAAAAAAAGCGGCGGAAAAATTAGGTTTGAAAAGCGTAATGGATGTGGATCTTTTGAATTACAGAGATGACGATGGACAACCTATATTTCAAGATACTCCTCCGCATAATATTGTTTCTGTTATGGTTTTACAAGTTACATAAAATTTTTCCAAAATTCCATAGTGATTTATATTCTCTTTGTAAATATATACATGATATTAAATATACATTAAAATAGAAATTCTTTGTTTCTTACATTTGTCCCATTTATCATATTAAAAATTATTATCAATTCTATTTGGTTATTTATTTTCTTTATTATTATTTTAACATAATTTTAATAATTGATGGTAAACGGCATTCAAAAAACATTTCTGATTCAAAATATTTATCTCCTTCTATTTATTTTATATTTATTATAACATGTATTGTTTATCATTTAGCGATTTCTTATTCAATTTTCATTTAACAATCTGGTTGTTTGTTGCAATCCAATCAATCAATGACCAATTTTTTTCTCTTAGAAATATTCACGATATGATATTGCTATAGAATGCGATAACACCAGCTGCATAATTTCTATATTTAAATCCAAGAAATAATCTAGAACTCTATATTCAAAATCTTGTGAAAATAAAATAATATAAAATATGTTTCATTGTCAAGAAATATAAGTGACATTCTCCATATTATTTCGTTTGTGTAAATGATCCACAGATATAACAAGGAATTTCCAAAATATTTAAGATATTGCAGAACAAAAAAATTATTGTAAGTAATTTTTACAATTAAAAGATATTTTTGATTATAAACATATAATAAAAATATAATAAATATTTAATATTTATATAAATATTGATATAACACATGATCATGTGTATCATATATCGAATCATATTTAATCATTGATATATGATGAACAATTTCTGGCGATTGATTTAAATTTCGCTAAACTTTGACATATGATAATATTTTTTATGCAATATATATTCAATATATATTGATGATGCAATATCGATGCATCTTCTGACATGTTTTGAATTCTAGTATAATGTAACTAATATTTTAATCGATATTTGAAATTTTTTTATTTGAATATTAAAAGTATGAAATGAATAAAAAATTGTATTTCTTCCAAAAAATATATTTTTTTTATATTTAAAATATTTATATTCATTATATTTATATACTATTTATATTTATATTCATTCACATTCAAATTTGAATCTTTTCCCATTAAAATAATATATTGAATGAAATTTTACATATCTAATAGTTTGAAATAATCATAAAAATCTTAAACTTAATTATCATCATTTATTTCTATCACAACTAACTATTATATTATAATTTTGGAATCACTGTTTCTTCTATTCTTCTATTCTTGTATCAACTATCTGTTAATATCTTCACATATAATCCATTATTTACAAATGAAATTCTGTTATTTCTACTTATAAATCAATTATTTTAAACTATAGAATTATATTATATATTTATCACAGTCAATTCTGAAAATCTTTTGAAAGTTAAATATATACTTATATGTAATTAAAAAAATAAACATATATTTAAACTAACTATAAAAATGTCTAATATTAACAACAGATCTTTTCTCTTGCAAGACGACTTCGAGGAAGAATCTCAAGTTCATTAACACTAGCAGATGCTAAGATATGTCTCATTAACTAATCAAATTAGCTTGCACATGGCTAACGGTCCTATGAACGACCTGTGGGGCAACTAAATTTATCTTTGACGTATATTTTCACGTTCTCTCTGGTTGGCACATACTAGTCACATAGTTCACTGACTCGCATATATTGTTTCTCAATCACTGCCTCGTATTGTTGTTGGGTATAATGGTTCATTTGACCCCAAAGAATTTCTCGATATCCTCGCGTCTTATAAACCACTTCCATTCTTAATCTCTCGATTAATAGAATCGTGCAAAAATTACGATTCTCTTTCTTTTTTTTATCTTTGTTTTCTTGTTTTCAACCAGTTTTGACGGTAGTTCAAAGATACATTGATAAAATGAGGAATGGAAAAATTGGACAAATTAATGTTGATACGTTTTTTAATTATGCATTAGTTTATACATATATAAATATATATACCGTTATACACGTCGCTGATAGGTCGCGATAATCAGCTATATGCTACGTAGTTTGTCTTATATCCTCAGAAAGTGATAGTCAGTGATCCATACGGTAGTTTGCAAATCTTTTCCAATATGAGGTGAGAAGAAACAGAGAAGAATTAAGCAAGAAATTGAATTCTCTTTTCTCCAATTATTAATTATTATTTATACTTTAACTGAAAACTTTAACAAAAAATGTTTACTAATTTTAAATATTCTCAATCATTTAATTCCACTTAGAATATCTTTTTTTGATTAAATTCTCATTTATAACAAGAGTATGCTAACCATATATTAATTTTTGTTGCTATTCTTAAAAAAAAAATTACACTTGATTTTGTTCCAAAATGTGAAATAGAACATCATCATATCATGTCTGGGACTCCATAAACAATGGGGCTATCGTCTTCGAGTCTCTGACCGACGATACCTTCGAAGGTGCCCTTAACGTCATAAGGAAAAGTTTCTTTGTCTACGAGAATGTATGCAAAGCTGTAGACATACTCTCGGAATCCGGTGCAAGCAAAGAACTTGAGGAACTTTGTCTGGATGCAGCGAAGGATGGGGTTAGTGTTGTTGCTGTTGACACAAACAGTATGGAAGTTATTGGAGTGGCTTTCAACAAGATACAGGTGGAAAAACAAAAACAAAAAAAAAACATTCAATACACTCATTTTATTGTTAATTTAAAATAATAAGTAAAAAAGACCTACATTCGTTTTCCAGCTTCTCAAAAATTCATCAGAGAAAAGTACCTTTGAAATATTCAAGGAAAATTGCAAATGCAACTCTTCGAAAGCCTTGATAGATTTCATGATAAATATAGACAGCAGGATAGATTTGTTCAAGCGCTACAACACCGACTGTATCTTTGAAATCATGTTCTTGGCCACTTTGCCTCCTAATCAGAAGTGTAGGATAGGAGAGCTGCTGATAACTTCATCGATAAAGATAGCAGAGGAGTTAAAAAAGGGAAATCCTGTGAAAACACCAGTCATGATAAATAATGTTAATACAATAGAAAACCTAAAAACAGTGCCCAACGTGGCATCAGCAATCATGACGTCCAATTACTCGCAGAAGATAGCGGCGAAGTGTGGATTCGAAAATTTGCTTTCAATCAGCTATGACGAATTCCATTTCAATAAGAAAATTTTCAGCGAAAATATAGGAGATGAGCATCGAAACTGCATTTTGGTTGCTAAAAAATTATCTTAGATGAAACTTAATTGTTAAGATTAAGATTTAAGATGTTGATATTTCTATTCTTAAAAACTGTAAGATTTTATATATCGTTAAAGATGTAAAAAAAAAAAATATATATATATATTTTCTTATATTAAATTGTATAATGAAATAAATCAGAAAAAAAGAATCATATTTTTGTATTTATAAAACAATGTGACCTTGTTATCAATTAATTGAATGAACTAATATGTAAACGCGCGATAAGAAATAATACTATCTGTTGATAATTATAATCGGTGAAAAGCCAGGAAATATATACAATATTGGTGACAAACGAGAAAACAATAAGTATTATTGAAGCGTTATTATTCGAGAAAATTCTGTGTCTAAAGTTGATGAATTCTTTTTTTTTTTTTTGTCAAATATATTTAAATATTCAATGCAATTGTTCATACTTCCTTGACAATATTCAAGGAAACTTAACGAGACAGATAATTGCGTTTTATTCATAACTCAACAATGTGCAGAGATAACAGAAACGTTTCCTCAGTATGCATGGATTATTGGATGTTGAAAAATGAAGGCTGCTTATCAAGACAGTAGAGCTGTACCAACAAAAGCTTTAATAGAGCGTAGGTCGCTCGAAACTAGCTTCACTCTGCCAGAGTATCTACAGACGGGAAGGTCGTTTCGCCCTCCCCTCCTCCCCTCCTTGAATATTGTTGTATCTTTGTGCAAACGAGTTGCTCCTTATTTGATTCTTCATCAATCTGTCAAAACAAAAGGTAACATCCTTTCGTTTCTTAGAATGGAATAAAGTAAACAGTGGAAAAGCTGAAACAACAACAGTTTGAAAAATTGTGAGTGACATTTTGATTCTCAAATGTTTGATAATTTTCCAGTCATTTTCACCATGTCTCTCGATAGTGACGATGAACTGGAGTATAAATTACTCACCAGAGATAAGGTGGAGGATGTTCTGGCTATACAGGCGGAGACCATGAAACAGGAAAACCTTGCTATAGGTTTGGGGATGTTCGAAGAGGATGGTGCCCCGGAAGAAATGAATCTACTCTTCAGGGAAGTTATCAAAGATGGCATGACGTTGATTGCCGTTGACAAGAAGACCGATCAAGTGGCAGCAGTGGCGTTTAACAAGCTTCACGTAATTTTTCACTCCACTTTCATCAGAATTAACCTTCCCTTACCCTTTTCACAAAAACTTATCTCATACGTTTGAAGGCGAAACGGGGGAAGGGTGAGAAGGACGAGCTGGATACATTCATAGAGGAGAACCTGAAGCATGAGACGTGTAGAAAATTGATCAAGTTTCTCGATGACGTGAGTATTCGTTGGTTATTGGCTGAATTGCCTCGTTTAGATCAAGTGTCGCCTCCAATTTATTCGGTGTAATTGTGTTGCCTGTATCACGGACTTTAATTAAAAAGACTCGAAGCGGCCTCTGTGTACATTCTAAGCCCCGATTAAAAAATTGTATTACACTGAATTTCCAAAGAAACCAGTGATCGAGATTGCTCTCGTTTGGCCAGATTGACAATGTGGATATTTTTGAGAGGTACAATACGAACGGAGCGATGGAGGTGTTCTATCTTGGCACCAATCCACGGTACCAAGGTCGTGGGATCGGCAGTCGAATGATGCAGAAGTGTATCGAGTTCGGTCGAGGGCTGCTCAATGGTACAAGGAGAAGAGCTTCGATCGACGGGATTATTCTGGGGCAGAGCGTTATTCCAGAGATAATTTTCGGTGTGTTCGCCTCGAATTACAGCCAACGAATCGCAGACAAATTGGGATTCGACGTTTTGCACGAAGTTCGCTACGATGATTATGTGTCCAATGGTAGAAAAATGTCCGAGAGGATAGGAGGCGTTCATAAAACGGCCAGGTTACAGATTCTAAAATTGTAAGAGATAGATTAGAACGAGTGGATAAATAACAGTAGTGCATTTTTATATTTTATAAAAGTCGTATTGAGAATTGTAACATTGAATGAAAATGAGCAATAAATAATACTTATTCTGAAATAAAAAAAATCACCAAGTGTGTGTCCAAGAATGAATAAATATAGAAAGATGGGATCCGTTATTTTGTACCATCGTGCCAAGAATTTCGTCACCATCTAAAAATCTTTCTCAAATCAAGATCTTTTGATAAAACAATATTGTACAAAATGTAATGAACACAACGCAATATATTTTGATGAAATGATTGTAATTTTTAGAAGGATATCTTTCTGAGAAAAGAAAAAGAAAATTTTAAGAAAAAAAAAAAGGAAAAAGAAAAAGAAAAAGAAAGAAAGAAAGTGGTGGCGGGCTAGAAACATAAGGGTCCTCGAGATGAATTTAAAAAACTCGTCAGTGAAGAGATTGTAGGTTATCTAACGAGTGTCTGGTGGTTGGTGCATAATTAACTTCGTTAGTTGGCCTTTGCTTTCAGTAACTTAATTGATCTTGTTATATCAACGAGTGGACGACTAGTAACAAAAAGATAAATGTTATTCGGCGTTACTTTTTTTTTTTTTTTTATATAAGTATATATGTATGTATTAACACATTTACAATCCGGTACATAATTGTTAAATATACATAGTGAATATATTGAGCGTAATTTACGAAATCCAAACACCGACAACGGAGATACATTTATTCTTCCTCACTCCCCCCTCCCCTTCCATTTTTATCAAATTTTTTCTTCTCTTATAAAATTGCCTCTCTTAAAAATGTGACGAGAAAAAATGTATATTGCAATATTGATAATATAATAACACTTAAATTTTACCAAAAAGATTTAAATCCTTTCCAAGTTTCGTTTAAAAATTAATAAAATCTAATTTTTCTTAACAAAATTTTGTTTTCACCGTCATTATTTAAAGAAATTTTATTTTCGTTGTATTCCGTCGTCGAAATTTTGGATTCCTTTTGTTTAAAAATTTCGATCTCTTGGCTGCCAAAAAATCCCAAATGAAAATGAAAAATTTTACATACGATAAATAAATTCCAAATAAATAAAATCATTCTAAAATGAATTTTCTCAACTATGAGACAAAGTTGGAAAACTTCAAAAAAAAAAAAATTCAACGAAAAGTTGGAGGACTAATTTGGCAAACTGGAAATCGAAAATTCTACTGTATACGAGCTACGATCGGAAATATTATAATTAACGTTATATTTACGGGGAAGACACCCAGTATAAATATATATGTGTATATATATGTCGTGTATACATGTCGGCACTGCTGATCGCTGGTAAATAGTCCTTTTTTTTTCCCCCAAGTTTTGTAAAGCGTCTATCTGAAAGAGATGCGAAATACGCATTTTCTCGTTTCGCATTGCGTAGCATGTTGCGCACTAATTTACCATTGTAATCAGTATTGGAACGCACTACAACATTCTTTTATAAAAATATTTAATACCACAACCAACCAGATAAATGCAACGATACCTCCATTTTACTTCAAACAGATGGATTTGGCGCGTGCAAAGGAATTTTAATTTTCTCTTCTCTCTTTCTTTTTTTTTTTTCTTCTTTTCTTTATTATCTAGTCAGTTTTGTTTCTTTTTTTTCTTTTTTTTTTTATTTTTGATTAAAAAACGTCAACCCTTCAAGGTCGTAAGCATTTGGTAAAAAAATAAATCACTATCCCAAAAAGCCAGTAACTTTGAAGATAATTGTAGAAAGAATATATTTCTCGTTCTTTTCAACATTTGGCAATAACAACAAGCGCAATTGAACAACGTCTTATTGGATAAATATATAGGGAAAGGCCCGAAAGGGTTGACCAGCTATAATGATTTTATAATTAAAATGACGATTACATTTTGGACGCAGAGCACAATGAAAATGATTCGTCGAAAATAAATTATTCGAAATTAATGATTTAATATTTTTTTTTCCCTCCCTCTCTTTATTTTCTTTCTTCTTTTTCTCTCTCTTTTTTTAGTCTTAGTCTTTCTTTTTAATCTTTTCTAAGCGTAACATTTCTGGTTCATAATGTTTTTCTCAATTTTTATTCCCTGTAAATCAGGGTTGAATTTATTTTGTTTGTCGTTTTTTTTTTTTTTTTCTTTTTAAGTTTAGAATCATTTTCTTTGTCTGTAACTTCGCTTATAATTCAGTTTTTCTACAAATTGAAACAAATTTCCTCTTTGTCGTTACCGTAATTGTATAACATAATTTACTCTTAATATATATATATATGTATGTATACGTATATATACGATCAAATGCTGTGACTATCATGTAATAATATAGTAGTACATTTGTTATTGTTTCTTCCATTTTCGACGATTATTATTGTAGCAACAAGAACAGAATTGAAGGAAAAATGGACCGTGATAGCATCCTAAAGTTTCTTATGATCTCATAATAAATAAATATATTAATTAAAAATTTAGAAAGTTCAATAAAAATTTAAGATAATGTGTGGCACATTATATTAATATACAACTTAGAATAGAGTTCTTCATTTTTAAATTATTATTCTTTAAGTATATCACAAATCAAAAGCATTTAATAAAGAGAAAGAGTTTGAGGTTGAAATAAAATATCCCAATATAAATAACAGAAGAGAAATAACAAAAAATCTCAGAGAATATTCAAAGTCCATCCTTTCCATAATTCTGATACAATTACACTTGGAATGCTTATTATCAGTGTAAAAAAGTTGTGGACGTATATAGCTTCTGCAATAGAATATGATTGACATATTTCCAACAACGAATATTCCTTTTCCTCTTACATTTCTACCATCTTAACATTGGCCAACAACAAACTACACTTAACTCACAATGTCTATGTTTCTGTGTTTCGCTATTCTCAGTACGAATCTAATAAATATTTATTAACTATCGTTTACACGAGTCATTATAGTCACTAGAGAATAGAACTCGGCTTCTTTTCTCAGCCACTTTCAAAGGTTTTTTCTTTCTTTTTCTTTTTTTTATTTTTTATTTTTTTTGATTTTGCGCGGAAAATTTTTGATCTGCGTTTGGGATTTTATGTGATAGTCCAGGGAGAAGGAGGAGTGGGAATGACTGTAACAGAGAAACGATTCACCTCAATGAATATAAAATGAAACGTACGTCCTAAAGTACCAAGGAAAACAAGATCTAAAAATAGATAATTTGACAAAGCCATCATATAACTTTGTTAATTGAGTGCATGCATGTAATGATCAAAAGTGTTTCTAAAATATTTGATTAAATTATAGATATATTTGTGCACATTATAAAATATCTTTTCACATTACATAAAAATTAAATGTAAATTGGTTCAACACTATATCTTAAATCCTATTTAATTTCGAAACGAATCTTATTCGTTTAGAAAGATTCACATGAATCTAATGTTTTAGAAACACTCTATACATTGAATGTTAGTAGAATATTTGAGCGCAATGAGAAAATATTTGCTATTAAATACAGTAATAAACACCAATAATAATAAATGATTGAAATCGTCACAAATGTCACATAAAAAAGAATCACACATTTATACCGGAAAGACAATCAGACATTCTATCGAGTAAAAACGTCGTTTCGAACAAGTTTCGAATTTATTCGTGCATTATATTTGTTTTACGTACTTCCACACGTACACACGCATTTTCTTGTACTTGACTTTGTAATACTGAAAAATTTGCTTCTTCTTTTCTTCAAGTATGTCTTTAACTGACTTAATACTTATCTCAATATTATTTGCGTGTACACAAAGCGGAAATGACAGATCACAGAATCGCGGGAAACCAGAAATTGCTTTATTATCAGATAGTAAAGTCTCCGTATTTCAAATTTCATAAAATTGTAAATTAATTTTATAAAATCGAATCCCTCAAATATTTTCCAAAAATATGATGATTCAATGATTTTTTTCTTGTAAATTTGATAACCAAATGATATCTATTTAATGATTTTTTGAAATTCTAGAATTAAAATCTGTATATTTTTAATTAGAAATTTGCAGATACGGAAATTGAACTATTCTATTTTTTTTTGTTTTTGTTTTTTTTTTTTTTTACATTTCTCTGCAAGAGATCCCCAATTTTACTTGCTAGACATTTATTTAACATAGCAACCAATAACAAAGACACCTTGCCTCTAAGCGCGTCTGTTTCATTATTATGCAACTTTCAATCCAGTATACATTATGATACTTGACTATATAAAATATTTTCTATATCTTTGTTTTTCTTTTGTTTTCATCTCACTCATTTACATTTACACATACATCTATTCTCAACATATGTAATTCGAATGTTCTCTATTTCCGAAAATACGAAATATTTTCGTTATCAAAATAAAATATAAATTGGCAATAACGTTGTGTGGCTAGACGGATGTTCGCGGTGACAAATTGCATAGGAAACATTGATCGCTTCTCTTCTTCCTCCTCCTTTCTCTCATTCTTTCTCACTCTTTGTTTTGTGCATTTCGTGTGCACCAGATAATTTATCGTTTCTCTTCGATTTCACGCCACCACTTTTATCACAACTGTGCACAAGAAAGCTTTCTTCCAATATCGAGAAAGAATACTCTGTCGACTAAGGATAGTAAAAACCAACATGTTGTCCGTATCTACGTTATCCATACATCTATATTAAATATTGGATTATTAAAACATACAAGGCAAATGTGTACCAAAATTGGAAATTATTTGGATTACTATCCCCAATCGATCCTAATCGTTATTCTGCACATTTCTCTCTTACACAGAGTATTCACTTTCTTCTTGTTACTATATTTAATTTTTATAAAATATTAATGTCAAAAATTTTTTTTTTTACTATGCAATGTTCAAACAAAAATTTGTAGAATGATTACTATGTACTTTTTATGTTCCAGAGTTGATCGTGAAAACTCTAGATAGATTTTGAAGATCTTTCAAAGGAAGGCTTTTAAAATGGTCTTCTAAGAGATGTTCATCTTTGACAAGATTCACATTGTACATTAGGTTGTTGCATGGTCAGATAATAGGACTGAGTATCCCGGAAGTGTGATCTAACGAGGAGACCCAAGCCTAGAAGTACTACAGGAAGACCTAGCAGTGCACAGATCAATTCTCCCGTCACTCCAGGGGACCATGTGATGAAACCTGTTGAAATTTTTCATTTGAGAATTCCAATCGCTTATGAGAGAAGCACCAAACTTTATTATTTTTATTGGAGAATAAAAATCAATTATGGACATGGACAAAATAAACAATAACAACAACAATAATTGATATACATAATTAAATATCGCTAACTCACCACCATGAACATCCATTTTATAAATACTCCACCAGATACCAGACAAAGGAAGAGACACAGTGGCGGCAGCAACAGTGAAGACAGCGCTCTCGCACATGGAAAGGAAGTTGAGAGCGGAAATCGAGAATATTATGTACGAGATCAAGAAGATCCAGCCGTGGGTAGAAATATTCGAACAAGCTTTGCTGTTGTTGAAATGGCATGTGAACCCATGCTCTACGGTACGGTACAATTCTACTGGAGACAATCCCTGAATTGAAAAAAGAGAATCATATATAATTTTGCAATATGAATATACCTGTTAGTGTTGGATGGAAGCTTAATCTATGTGTATATGTAGAAGTAGTATATTTTCTTAAGTGGATCGTATTAAGTGTCTATACGAGAGCTGGGTCTCGTCACTCGTTAGATATTCGTGTCAGAGTTCGTAATTACAAGAAAATCTATTTGTCGTATCCAGCGGTCAGAGTTATTTTTCTTAATTCTCTGATCAGGAATTGTACGTTTATCATAATTCTTCTCAATTATAGCATAATATTAGTGTCTGGAAGTACTTTGGCTTGGGATCATGTTGCATTCCTGCTAGGCTGGGACATCTTAAATTATAATATACAAGTTCAAGTATCATTTCCTCAAAAGCAGCTCTATCTTAGACTGATATCATCCTAGAATCTTCGTCAGATTTAACGATGTTCAATGTCCAAAAATAATGGGAGAAGATTCCGCGTGGAGAATTTCTTCGCCATACGCATGCCATAAATCTCACTTATGCTTTTATTACATATCAACATGAGCATACCCTGCCTATTCCTGGTAACGTATCGATCCAACACATTGACAGAATGGCGAAGAAGGCGATCAGATGAATGTAGAAGAGCGTCTCAAGAATTGGAGGCTTTGGAATGTGTTCGGTTTTATGGTAGGATCAGGATCGGTCACATGAAGCAGTCTACCTCCCTCCTCCTCGGAACCTCGTCGACGAATGTCTCGAGAAGACACTAATCTCGAAACCGTGTACAGGAAAGAGTTCTGTTGGCTGGCCATTATTTGACACATGTTCTGTTGCTGCAATAGAAACGCACAAACGATTAGAAAAACTTATATATCACGATATTCCCCCCCCCCCGTTAATTAAAGTTAATCACCTCAGTGGTATAGTGTCCCTCGAGCAGGGTGAAAAACATAGCGAAAGCGGCGAGGGCGCCCACGTAAACAAACGTCCAAATTGCTTTCACGCCCCAAGTTCCCTTTATAGTTGTGACGTGAGCTGAAACCTCCCGCCCCCTGCATCGAAATTCGTCACAAAGGCCGTAATCCACGCTTATGAAAAGACCCACTATTATCGTGGTGCTTGAAAAGATCCTCTGCAAGCTCATCACTGCAACCAATAATACCAAAAGTTTTCTACCTTTCTTTATAAAAAGAAAAGAAATAGTAAAAGGAGAAAGACTTACTTTTGCGACAGAAGAAGAAGTAATAGACCAGGGAGAAGACCAGCGTGATGCCCTTTATGGGATCCTGTAGGTGGCAGAGAACTCTATCCCGGTCCATGGAGAGGGTGATCACTATACCAGAGAACGCGTAAATCAGGCTAATTTTGAGAAGGGCGCAACGGGGGATTTTGATTCGCAAACTGTTTGGAATCAGAGCCGGTGGTGGATATATTCTTCCCCAGATGAAGTATATAACGCCCAGGATGAAGGCAGAGAAGAAGGCAGTGAAAAGAAGTCCTGAAAGGAGTTAAAAACTTTTTTAATAACTTGCAAACACGATCTGGGATATAATACTCTCCCCCCCCCAAATTTTAATTTAAAATGAATTTCTATAAAAATTCGCAATCGACGTTTCTCATTAATCAACGCAACGTACCAACGTTATACGGAGAATCGTATAGACTCTAATCGATAACTGTATCAAATAATCCTGATCAATATTACAAACAAGTTTCCACCGGTAATATCTTGGTAAATATATATATATATATACACGTTAAATGTATTATTTGAAAAATTAGAATGCAGGTAGAATATCACGATAAAGGAGGATAAAAAAAAAAAGAAGCACGATAAAATGGCTTGCGCCAGGGAAGATGGATTCATCATGGCCTGACGATTCTCAGATATATCACCTGTGTAAGCGTTGGACACGTAGCTGACACTTTCGAGATAAAGGGGATAGGTGATAATCAAAAAGGTAATGGACACGACGACGGTCAGAAGGGTGGCGATGAAGGTGAATTTTTGCCAAGTCGCCCTGTCCGTATCGAACAGCTTATCGGTGGCCTGATAAGCGACATATGGCGAGTCCTCGGTGTCGGTGTACTCCTCGATCTCGACGTCGCTTCCTGTGCATCGTAGCTCCTCTTGTTCCTCGTCGTCGACCATCGTCGAGACGCAGCTCGCCAACCCAGCCAGCTTTGCGATTTATTCCCTCGCCTTTCTGACAAATAATGAAATAATATTAATACGATCGAGAAGAGGTTGAAAATGTTAAACGACGTTTGTTCTAGGCTATGAAATATTGCAAGCACCGCAATGTTCGATTAAAAAATCGTTCAAGGTTTACGCCGAGTGGAAAAGGGTTTAAAGATAGATGGAAAAAATTCCATTGCATTTTGATTGGCTCATTACTTGGCATGTTTAGAAATTCAGCGACCTCTTTCGAAAATTCCACATCTTCCGTCGAATTATTTGACAAGTACATTTTGGATTCAATTTCGTTAAGTTTTTTTTTTTTTTTATTTATAGACGAAGAATTGGCACACGAGATGTGCGATATTGGATATCGAACGAGGATATTGAATAAAACACGTAGGAATTGTAAGTCATGATGCTAAAACAAAAATTGATTATATCTCGAAAATAGCCAAGTTTACGATCTACGCGTTTTATTAAAGCTTCTCTGTATACATAGTCTATGTTAATCCTTTGTGAACGAGCACACACACTCCCTCTTTCTCTCTCCTTCTCTCCATTTTCTGATTCTCGGCAGAACGAGGATATTTTCTAACGCGAAACGAGATTATAAACAAAATGTTCAAATAAATAAAGATAAAAAATTGTTTTTACTATTAATTTAATTTTTAACTTAACTTTGATGACATTTGTCCTCAAAGGGTTGAGACTACGTTCAGTGTTCAAAACGATGTACAAAAAAAAAAAAAACAACTCGAAAAGTAGAACGTAATTCGACTTTGAGAGCGCAGTGGAAAATAAGTTGCCGAGCGAGAGGAAATTTCTACTATCACCACGAGTGCACACAGTGAGCACAGACACAGGAGAAAAGGATTTCTTAAAACGTGGAATGGTAGTGGTATACGCTGCAACGAATCCAATGCACGCTTTTCTTTTCTTTTCTTTTTTTTTTTTAAGATCGATCGTAATGCAAGGGTGAGCCATTTTTTGCGGGTACATTGCTCAGCTCACGCGAAACAATTCAGTTCAGTTCGGTCGATCTGTTTTTTTAACCCTCTCTGTATTTTCCCTTCTCGTCCTTGGAAACGGTGCACGATTAACGAGCACGTTGCGTGCATGCGCAGCTCGCCTGTGTATTTTTCGCCGTGCAAAGATTAGATAAACCGGTCAACCTGCTATCGGTTCGGAATCGTAAAATTTCGTGGTGGACTTTTCTACATACATAGAAATCTCTGCGTGAACGTAGACAGAACGTGGCCGACTAAACCGAGCTGAGAAAATGACTGGTTAAAAATTTCGAATAAAGTTACCGTCAAGTGATAACTTTATTTGCTGAAATGCTCGAACAACGTTTATTTTTATTTTACAGTTGAATTATCGATACGCCTTGAATACGCGAACGAATTATTGAGGTAAAAAGTGGCTAATTAAAATTTCGAATAATGTTACTTTGTAAATAATAACTTTGTTTGAAATGCTCGAACAGTATTTATTTAAGAACTGCCTTCGATGCGGTTCTCCGTGCACTACTGTGACTAGATGATTAGAAACCACTGCCCTCTATGAAAGATAATCGTTTTTAAACTTTTTCCATTGTCTAGGGAACAAGAGTGAATGAATTAGAAACTTTATATTATTATACATTTTTAGATATTCTGATAAAAAAAATTTTAATGCATTCAAGATTGTAAATATTTAAATGAATATATTAATATTTAAAATTATAGAAAAATATTATTACGTTTATTCGTAGTTTAATACGGTTGATCCGCTCTTCGTGTAATCTTGGCCATTTGCCATTGCAGTTATCTACGATTATTCGCAGAAGAATTAAACAATAAATTTTCGTAATTTAATTCAACTGTTTTAAAATTTTGATAATACATTTTAAACGTTTAAATAAAACGTAATGGTTAAAAAGATATCGAGTACGATTAATTTCTTTTCCGATATTTTAGAAAATGCGGTGTTTTCTTTTTAAAATTGCTTTTTTTTTTTTTTACAATATTTAAATAATTTGCAATTTCTTTTCTCGGTAAGTTAAGAAAAATGAAGTGTTTCGAGCGAGAATTAACTGGAAAATGAAGTTTAATAAAGAAAGTAAATTCATTTTAGAATCAAAATGTATCTTTTCTTCTATTAAAAAGATGCATTTAATTTATAACTTTTCTCCATTTCAGAATTAAAATTTTTTTTATACTTAATAAAAATTTAAGTTTTTATATTAAACGGGCAAAACGTGGAAATTTAATCAAAGAGAAAATAATGGAATTAGTTTAAATTGAAAGAATTTCTGCAGTTCGATAAATAAAATAAATCTCTTTCCATTTATTAAAATGTTATTAAAAAATTGTGTCAAACCCACGCATAGAATTCCATTACTTTTATTTTATTAAAATTTCACACAAAATATCTAAAGCATATAAATTTCATTACAGAGTTCAGAATATAATAACTCGTTTAATTATTTTAATAGCGAGTAATCAAAAAAATTATACAAAAAAATATTGCAAATTTTTCAAAAACGAGATAAGAGAGATAAGACAAGAGATAATAAAATATACATATTGTATAAAAATTGTACAAGATTTTTCTTTATTTGGAGATTTCCGATGAGTGTTTTACTAATTTAGTAATTTTTTTTTTTTAATTTAGTAATATTACAAATTATTCTTCTAAAATTTAATTTTATTCATAACGTTTCCATAAATTAAGCATTATTTGTCCAAATCAATTTATTCTTCTCACAAACTTTCTTAGCTGTGATCAAAGATTTTCCACTTTATAAACAAATATGTGAAAACATATCAGAAACGCTTAACATAACACCGCAACGAATTTCCCCTAGGACGCTCATCAAATGAAGCGTGAAATCCCCTCGGAAACAGGATCCTTTTACTGTTCGATCAGTAGATATCAAAAAGTAAATTTCATTCCACAACGATGAAGGTAACAATTTGCTATTTGCTTAACGGCCAATCGCAATTGATAACGGATCAGTTATCGTACTCGATGTAATAGATAAAAAATACTATATCAAACAATAAATACAGAATAATATTCCTGCGAGAATAATCCTTGATTAATTTTCATTGCATTGATGGAATAATTTTATAAAATATATTACTTTGAAGATCATTGTGTTGCAAATAATTGTTACGCAGCAGCAACGCTTTTCAACCATTTTACAATTGTAACCCATTTTTTAAATATTTTATTATGTATAAATTATAAGATATATTACTCGATTCGATACATTTCATAAAACTCTTGGCACTTTATAATACTATTTTCAATTGAATTGCTTCTTTTATTTAGACGAATGCACGATATGCAGTATACAATTAAACGTTGGGCCATGAAGCGAGTAACGGTAGAGAAAAAAAAAAAAAACGGTTTAAAGACGGAACAAAAGAATCTAATTACATACTAGCAACTCGTCACAAGTGGCCTGAGACTGAACCGTAACTCGAACCTCGGAAAACAATAGGGTAATGTGCGGAGCTTTTTTCCAGAATTTAATCCATTTCTGAAATTTGTTATTACTTTGGAAATACGATGGAATATGATACGATAAAAAAACTCATTAAATAAACTGTCCCCTGTGATTCCGCCATATCGAAGAATTCTTTGTAACGAAATTTTTATATGAAGACAAAAATGATTTTTTAACGTTGATAGTTAACGTTAATCGATTATTCCTTTCATTTAAGTTATTAAATGACGCAGTTTAATAATTTTTCGTTTAATATTTTCTAATTACGAAGACCAATATTAAATTTTTAATTCTTTATAATAATGACATTCATTTTTCATGGAAGTATTTTTTTCATAAATTTACTTAATTAAAAATGTAATTTAATTTTAATAATACGATACGATATTTAATTATTCTCGATATAATTTTAATCCGAGAAAATTTGTTAATCTAAATCTAAACAATGAAAAATTAAATTTAATTAATTATTTGATTAAATAATATTTCCAATATGGGATATTATTTAAAAAAAATTCAAATTTACAGAATAACACAATGATCAATATATGCTGGTATTTTCCAGCCGAAGAATTAACAAATGCCAAGGAAATCCCGGCGTCGAGAAACTTTTTGAAATGAAACACTTTTAGAGAACATCGAGTGCACTCGAGGGATTATATCTCGGTGCATCCTCGTCCAGTGCCAAGATCGGGAAACTCTTGCAACTTCCTATCTCCACGGAATTTACACAACTTTGATATAATCTAACACAATAATAATTATAAATTGTTATTTTATTATCTTTCTCGAAATTTTAGATTTAAATTAGATTTAAAAAAACGCCAAATTTAATAAAACTTAATATTGACATATTATTTTTAAATTATTTACAAAACTCAATTTTGATTAAATTAAATATTGAACGATTTTATAATTTTTCATTTATATAAATTGATTATTATACGTTATATCTCTTGTTAATAAATAGAAATGTATTTGTATCAAGTTCGATTTAATTTATTAAACATTATTTGCATAGGACGTATAAGTTTTGTGATTATCTAAAAAAATTAATGATATACGTTTATTGGATTAATAATCGATGATTTTCGTTTATTTATAAATTTGATGTTAATAATATTTAGTTTTTGCAATAAATGTTTATTATATTTAATGTTTGCGTTAAATAAATAACATAAAATTAATTTCAAAATTTAAATGTTAAAAAAAAAAATTAATTTTTAATTATAAAAACAATACAATGACAAAAATCACATTATATCATCGCAAGATATTTTTTAATAATTTCCTGTGTATTCACAGTAACAAAGAATGCCAATAAGCTTTATGCTACAACCAATAACCGATACAAAGTGCCACTATATACATAACCTAACAATATAATTTCGTGCATTCGATAAGAGATCGAAAAACCGATAACCAAGCTACTAACACAGTTGCACCATCGAATAAAATATGAACTAGTTTCTTGTCACTTGTCGCGACATTCAAAGTATGCACGAAAATTAAAATAAATCGAATCGTATTCTAAAAACATTCAACAAAATTCCATTTGCAGGTTAGAATACCATTTTTCGAATCGAATTGTTTTTAAAGGAACAAAAATTTATCGAGATGGCTTGTCAACGAACTCTATATATGTATTGGTATTGCGACTTACCCTCAAAACCTAACCTGACACCGCCCTGTGTCACACTAAAGCCGCTTCCAAATCCCTCGGAAGTTGTTCTATTCCTGTGGACGCCACGTCCGTCGGGGATTCACATTCGTGAAACGTCGGAAAACTCGACTCGTTTCACGATTACCGTGAACCACACAAAAAGCGAGGAAAAACAACGACTTCGTCCCATCGTGAGACAAGAACTGCCTTCGATGCAGTCTCCGTCCAGTGGCGTGCAGTACTGTGACTAGGTGATCAGAAACCACGGCCCTCTATGGAAGATAATTGTTTTAAATATTTCCAATTGTTGAAGAAACAAGAATTAGTGAATTAGAAACTTTATATTATACATTTTTAGATATTTTGATAATAAATTTTAATGTATTCAAGATTGTAAATATTTAAATGAATATATTAATATTTAAAATTATAGAAAAATATTATTAATATATATATATATGTATATATATGTATTTTACGATGAATATTTAAATGTTTTAAATATATAAAAATTTGTAAATTTTCTTATC